CAGTTTGTCGGCAATTTTTAATTTAGTACTCAGTTCGCATTGCCAAGCCAGCCACAGACGTCGTGTTTTTCTCTCCCACCCACCACACCCTCTTTCACATGGGTAGGTCATGATATTTACCATGGGTGTGCGATTCCTTTTATTTCTAAGTCTTGCAATGTTAAAGCCAGTTGATTGCTTTTTCTTACTTTACCAATGATCAACATAGGTTGATTGCTGTATTAGCTTTATTAAGAACCAACACAGGTTGAGCTATGTTTTCTTTTAACAATTTTCCAATAATCAACACAGGTTGATTGCTGTCTTTCAACCTGTTATTAATAATCATCACAGGTTGATTCGTGTGTCTCTTTTAAACTCCAAGGGGGACTTTAGTCCATTAGTTTAGTTTGTAGTTTTTAGATATGTACGTTACAAGTGTTTTCAAAGTCAGCATGTTCACATTTACATAGCATTTGCATAAATTTGCATATTCCTTGTGAAAACACTGGTTTCTTAGTTCATAGTGCTTTAGTAATAAACTACTCCCTATATGGATCCAAGACATCTATGTGTATGTGTGTGTTATTCACTTTGACCTCCCAAACTGCCTGTCCCGATTGCTGCGGTGCAGTGCCCTCACAGGCCGTACCTGGATTTAAATGCAACCATTTAAGAGTGACACACAAAGATCCATGCATGATTTCAATAAGAACTGTACATGTGTGCACATTATTGTATAAAATTGAGATTCTCAGAGTCCAGGTAATTCTTGAGGAGGAGACCAGGTTTCTCAGTGAAATTTAGCAATCTGAAAAACAATAATTTTGTGTGAAAATAAACCTGGTTCAAGATAGTTTTTTGAATAAAAATTACTTATCAATGAATGCCAAATTTAGGTGGAACACTGGTGAATACTGATAACCCTGTAAAGGTGACCGAGTTGAGCTTATTATCTGATGTAAGCCACATCATGTTTGTTAGCTCAGTGATCATTTGGTGACATTTCCATGTCGGTGTATTCACTTGGACACCAAGTTATGCTTGTCATGACGTCATTGTCTGGTGGTATTTGTGTCACTGAATCTGCCAGTGAGGGCGTAATAACTATCGTCAAGCTACTCATTCATGTGCAGTCAACATCAGATAGCGATAGTGTCAATCAAAATGCATCCACATGAGATGTGGAACAGATTAATGTACTAACCTCATTGAATTTTAGGTGATGTCAATAAATTAGAAAGTTGAGTCTGTATTACTGTTTTGAAATGTCTGAAATGTGAATGGTAGTCTTAACCATTTATAACACTGACACTTTAATGTTTTATAACAACATTGTATTTCCTCAAATGTTTTTTTTTGGACATTTATAATATTTATTAACCTTTGAAATGGCTTAAGTTAGAAGTTTACTTAGAAATGCAAGTACCCAGAATTTTTGGAAAATTTATGGTTTTGTTTTAGTGGATAGTGGCTATTTTGACAATATTACAACGCTTTTACCTTAGGTTCCTGTGGCTATTATGCCATATCTCAAATTGTAGGCTGGTGACATAAGCTGACAAAATAATATATTGTTAATATTGGGCTACTTATTGTTCTAAATTATTTCAAAAAGTGGCAAAAAATGCAAGTTTTTTAAACATTTTGCTCTATGGAATTGTTCTAAAAATAGTGATTTTTGAAAAATATTAAATCAAATTTCTCAAAATATGTCGCTGGAACACACAAAAGAATGCTATTTCATGGTGCCATAAGCTATGTGATTGTACATAATAGACAAACGAACACGAACACGAGTGCCAATAGGCTTCTACCTTAAAAGAAAACGTACAAGTCAACAGCAAAAAAAAACTACTTAGTCTTATCGTGGATGCTTATCTACGTGTGTTTCTTGATTTTTTAGTCCCCGTTCGGACGTAGTCCGAAAACGGGGACTTATGTTTTGCCCTGTGTGCGTGCGTGCGTGCGTGTGTGCGTGATCACCTGTATCTCGAACATGCATGGACCGATTAAGTTCAAACTTCACTCATACATCACACATTATATGGCACATATGCACATGCATTTTTTTCATGATCCGATTAACGATAGCCGAATAGCGGCCATTTTAAGGCCGAAAATGCATCAAAATCGCACATTTTCACCATTCCGGACCCGGATCTCAGTTATGCATGAACGGATTTCATTCAAATTTGGTACATACATTAAACATAATAGGACCTTGATGCACGTCATTTTTTCTTTCGAATCAAGTTCGAAATGGCCGACTGCCGGCCATTTTGTTTTTAAGAATTCAGTTCTGGATCCGTATCCGAGACATGTCTGGATTGATCAAGTTCAAACTTCACACACACAAGGTACATCATGTCACAAATATGTATGTGCATTTGTTTCATGATCCCATTAACGATAGCCAAATGGCGGCCGCTTTAAGGCCGAAAATGCATTGAAATCGCACATTTTCACCATTCCGAACCCGGATCTCAGTTATGCATGGACCGATTTCGTTCAAATTTGGTACTTACATTAAACATAATAGGACCTTGATGCACGTCATTTTTTTTCCGGATCAAGTTCGAAATGGCCGACTGGCGGCCATTTTCTTGAAGAATTCAGTTCTGGATCCGTATCTAAAACATGTCTGGATTGATCAAGTTCAAACTTCACACACACATGGTACATCATGTCACAAATAGATATGTGCATTTGTTTCATGACCCGCTTAACAATAGCTGAATGATGGCCATTTTAAGACCGAAAATGCTTTAAAATCACGTATTTTCAGTCATGCATGGATGGATTTTGTTCAGATTTAGTACAATGTGTTGTACATATGCAGGTGCATTTCGGTCATGGTCTGCTTTGAATGTATATGTTACTCAAATATGAACGGAACGGGGACGTATCATTGACAATGACTTGTTTCATATTTGTTTAATTGTAATTTTTCATTCGTTTTTAGTTTGTATCGATGGACAATGATTTTCTGTATTGGTTCGTTTTTGTTTCATTTGATTCCAAGCATTATTAACTGAGATATGTTCGTTAAAACTCGTTTCATGCTTGATTTCACCTCATAATGCATCTATCTCTATTACAAAGAAACACAAATCAGTTTAAGCCATTTACGTAATGGTCACAAATACGCTCTTATCACAGTGAACGCAAGAGAAGTCGCATGTCTAGTGACTCCAAATAGTTGATTGTAGTCAGACAATTTAATTAATATTTTTTTTAGCTGCCTTGAGTGCAAGATAATAAGTTTGGTGTTTCTGTCTCTGTCTCTGTCTCTATGTAAATCTTGATTTTCCTAGCGAATTTTGATTTGATGAAATTTAGAACAGGTTCCTTAGGGTAATGTGGAGACATAATTAGTATTAGTGCCATGTCCAAGCATATTAAGTAGCTAATTTGCATATTATCTCATTTCAGTCTGTGTAAGAAAAGTCTCGAACAATTGTGAGCAGATTTTGTTTAAATTTGTGGTTATGTGCTGACATGATTAGTTTTAAGTTTATGTCCATGCATAATAAGTAGCTTATTTGCATATTACATGTATTTCATTTCAGCCTTTGTAAACAAAATCTCAAAATTTCTGAGCACATCATCTGATTATCATAATTCTGAGTGGATGCATACATCTTGTCTTACAGATGATGTTGAGGATGAAAATGCCGAGCCTGACATTGCTTACACTTTATCATTGGATGTACATTTCACCAATGCTAAGTTTAACAGGTAATCAGAACTTATTGAATATCTGTATTTATATAAGATACATTCTAGATTCAGGAAACTTTCTCTGGTTTTTTGCATAGTTAACTCAAGTAACTAATGTATAAAACCTTATACATATTGACTGTTACCAAATTCTGTTGTAAATTCGCCCATCCAAAAAATCGCCTCGATTTCACGACTGGTGGGCCTTTATTTAGCGTTCAAAATTTCAGAAAAGATCATCAAATATTTCTTAGGACTTCTATTTTCATTGAAAAGTTCACCTACGTTGACTTTCAACGCCAGCAGTTGGACCATCCAAGACGAAAGAAACTATTGCAGAAGCTAATCTAAAATTTGATACATTTTTTTCTTGCTGAATTAAAAAGTAGACTGCCTAAAATTTCATTATAATGTCACCCAGTGTCATCTTACTCCGAAAAAATCACATTAACAAACCTGGTATAATAAATAGAATTATTTTTTTTTAAATTTTATTAGCAACGTAAGAGTAAATTCTAAAAGAAGTTTCAAATAAAAACGAACATAATTGCATTGCTTAGAAGCAAATGATCGCAAATGAGAATATCCCCCATGGTTTGACCAACCAAAAAGATGGATGATATCAACTTGTTCAAATTACCATAGTTCATTTAAATATGTTAATGTTATTGAACGTAACACTGAACAGATTTGCCTATGTCTATTGGCTTGAAATTTGATGGGAAAACGGCAAGATTTTTTTAATATCAAAAATTAGTTGTTTTCAAAAGATAAACTGAGCATTTGAAGGAGAATTTAACAATGTTTACAGTTCATTGTCTGAACAAATCTTACCCATTTATGCTAGCCACAATAAACACCATACTCTTGAATAGTTGTCAATGACGACAGTAAAACTTAATTAGACTTTATTTCAGGCATCAGGAATGTTTGAAATGTCTGAAAAATGACGCGAAAATATTGAAAAATTAAAAACACCTTAAAAACTGGCAAAAAAATGCCCTGGGCGCGTGATTTCTTGGTCTCATTTTTTTTTTTTTAAAACCCAAACTTTCTTTTAACAGCGGAATTTGGTATTTCAAATCTGGACAGTATTTTCACCCAAATTTTATTAGAATCCTTGACATTTGTAGTAATATATATACCTAATGCTAAATCTGCTTATGAATCACCTTTTCTTAAATTAATTTTTATTTGAGTTTTCATGCATTTCATGCAATCACATGCAAGATTGATTGAATTGAAAAATGATCAGACAAATTTGATATAAAGCTATTACATGACCTGTTGACATGCTTTTTTGCATTGATTGTCTGTAGGTAATCTGTTAAAATAGTCTGCACACGAGACATGCAGTTGTTTTTTGTAATTTGAAAATGACTCTTTTATGTTGTCACTGCATCAGTGAATATTGTGTACATCCTTGGTCAGTTACGTTTAGTGCATAGCTAAAGCTTGATTGAATCAGTATTGCATAACAGGACTATTAAAATAAGTGAAGGAATATGCAAGATTTTGATCATTATTAATACTGTAAAATACTTTATTTTAGCTGGAATTAATTTCTGCTGAAAAGGCTTTTTGGGTGTTTTGTACAGAATTTTTTTTCACTGATTTTTAATGAGTTGAATGTAAAATATAAGAAAACAAATTATATTCACTAGATTTTATTAGTCTCCGTTCGGACAAAGTCCGAAAACGGGGACTTACAATTCGGTCTCCGTCCGTCTGTGTGTCCGTCCGGAGTCGTATCTAAGAATCCCTTGAACCTATTCCGTTCATTCTTTGCATGTGCCTAGTACTTTATGTGGGACATATGCACATGCAGTGGTTTAGCATTTAGATTCAAAATGGCCGACTGGCATCCATCTTGTTTTTTGAAAATGTTGTATTTTGAACATGCTTTGTCAGTTTTCATTCAAATTTAGTACATAGATCATACATGTTAGGATACATGTCTCCGACCGTTCGTGAGTTCGTCCGTACGTCCGCCAGGTGTCCGTTCGTTCGTGCGTCAGTCTGTTCAGCATCGTATTTCAGAATCCTGTGGGCCGATTCCGTTCATTCTTTGCATGTGCCTAGTACCTTATGCACATGCAGTGGTTTAGCGATACGATTCAAAATGGCCGACTGGCAGCCATCTTGTTTTTTTGAAAATGATACATGTCTATGACGATTTATTTCACAATTGGATCAAAGATGGTCGACTGGCAGGCAATTTTTTTTTTTTTTTTTATGCGGTATCTTGGAAGTGCTGTCAGTTTTCATTCAAATTTGGCTCATACATGTACTTTATACATGTTAGGATGCATGTCAATAACAATTTGTTTCAAAATCTGGTCAAAGATGGCCGATTGACAGCCATCTGACTTTTTGGCCTTACTACTATATTTCAACAATTTATGTACCATTTTCATTTGTATTTGGCACATACATCATACATATCAGTGTGTTTCATAATCAGATCAAAGATGGCCGAATAAGGGCTGTTTTTATTTTTGGCCATAATACTACTACACGAAACACGCGTTTAGATGTAAATAAACAATCTGTTGTATACGCCACTTGGAACTCAAGTTTCAAGGACACGCTCACGACAACCCCTCCACTTTAATACGACGAGCACAAAGAGAACTTTCAAAAATTTAACGGGGACTGTCATTTTCAATGACTTGTTTTCACTGAAACATTCAGCGAAAAAAACAAAAATAAATTGCAAGTGGAAATGAAGTATTCTACAGTAGTTACTGTAAACCATGTAGCTTTTTCACTGCTAAGAATTGACAACATTTCACAAAAGTCGCATACAATTTTTGCTGTTTAAAAATTTTACAATTTTGAATAATCCATAAAAAAATTTCTCTTGTTATATTATTTGCACATCTTTTCAGACAAAAGTGTATTTTATTTGCAGCTGTGCATTTATAAAGCGAACACCGGTGATAGATGCTGATAAAAGTATTGCATCTCAGATACAAGTATTGACTTTATGTGAAGGGTCTCCATATGAAACATTACATGCGCATATCAGCAATGCTGTGGCGCCGTATTTCAAGTCATACATCAGAGCCTCTGGAAAGGCTGACAGGTAAGCTTTCTTTTCAATCAAATTTGACTGTATAATGCCTGCATTTTCACCACAAAAATGTTAATTGAATATGTTTCACATTTTCAAACTCAAATATCTTGATTTTGGATCAAATGCACATTGATCTCAAGTCTTGACCAAAAGTTTTCTAAAAAAATATGAAAGAATTTTGTGAAAGTTGAATTCAGTTATTAATTTGGTTTCAGAGATGGCGATAAGATGGCTCCTTCGGTTGAGAAGAAGATTGCTGAGTTAGAGATGGGTTTATTACATCTACAGCAGAATATTGACATCCCAGATATTACCCTGAATATCCATCCTGTTGTGGTAGCCATGATTAAAAAATGTGGGGAGGAAGGAAGACGTCCAAAAGTACACGACTTTGGAGATAAAGTAGAAGATTCTACATTTCTCAATGCTCTACAAAATGGAGTTAACAGATGGATTAGAGAGATACAAAAGGTTAATATAATTAGTTGTGTTCATTTTGAGTCAGTTCATAGATATTTTCTCTATTATGGAAATTATAGACATTTGTTTATGATTAAAATAAGTTTATATTTTGATGAGTATGTATACATACATGTACAATGCAATTTTTGGTTAATGTGCATTACTGTTAAAATATGGTAGTAGAGCAAATATGATGTTAAAACCTGCATCATGTTTTTGTATTTTATTGCTGTTAATAACTAGTACATTTGTATTTGACTTTGATAATGTTATCATTAAATGCCGAATTACTAAACTATGTGGTACAATGATTAGTACAATATAAGTCATAAGAAAAAATGGAAATAATGTTTGGAATATTATGACTTTAGAATTACAAAACTACTGAAGGATTATTTACAATTATGTTGTAATTTACAGGTAACCAAACTGGACCGTGATCCTGCATCTGGCACTGCTCTTCAAGAAATCAGTTTTTGGTTAAACCTTGAACGTGCTTTATTGAGAATCCAAGAGAAGAGAGAAAGTTCTGAAGTTGCACTAACATTAGACATTTTAAAACATGGCAAACGATTTCATGCCACTGTTAGCTTTGATACTGATACAGGTAATGGACTTTATAGTACCATATACTGTAATATTATTGTATTTATCCGGGTATAAGCCCAGGGTCTTGAACATGGAAAATTGCCAAAAAGAAGGGGTGGGCGTTTGCCAGGAGATCCCCGGCAAAAAAACAAAAATTCGCGAAAATTGGCAACACGCAGTTCGATCGAACTGCGGCAGGGAATAGAACGGCAAATGAAAACATGCAACGGGAATAAATGAACAATATGCAAAACTAGAAGTAGAACAAAAATAATGTATTGCTTATAATGTGACTAAACCAGAAATAATAAAAATCGACAGTGAGGAATCATTTGAATTAGGATTTTCCCGCCGACAAACACGCGTGAACTCAAAATTAATTAAAATGTCAGGTGTTAAATTGCGTAAAATGATTTCCGGTCTCGACAAATTACGCATCAACCGTCATACAAGATCAATAATAATTTACAAATTTACACAGTAAAAATTATAAAAATTCATAGCTGTTTGAAAAAAACTTTTCAGATCTTTATTTGTACATTCATTGCCATCTTCGTCAAACTCAAAACCGTCAAAATCCAAGTCGGCGTCACTGTAGCCGTCGAACAAATCCCTACAACTTATTCCTGAAGTTCGTCGATATCGTCCCACACATTTGGACCTAGCACTTTTAATC